ATTTAATGCTATAAAGATTGTACAATAAAGGATACGAAATGACTTCATTTTCCAACAAGAAATTCTGCTTGCTATGCACAGAGTCTCAAAGAATTCCTTATGTCCAAATTTAACATTTGGAAAAAAAATTGGAAACAAAACCGCAATTGAATCAGTAATGCGGTGAACCGAAATCCCACTTGAGAGGCTCGGGGGGGGGGGGAGAAAGAGGGCTTGGGAGACCATCGGACACGTCCCGGGGTGTCTCCATCGAAATTGGGAGCAGAACTGAGCAAAATCGTACTATTACCTGTAAGATGCTGAAGGCTGTTGCCAACGACAAGCGTATCTTGCGCTCCTTGCCACGAGGAATTTCGTGGGTTTGAGCTGATATTACTGTCAGACAAGTGAGCATAAGTAACAACAACAACAGCACATATTCACAGAAGTAATAAAAGTTTATTTGTACACAAACTAAAATTATACTATATTTTAGAAATTATTGATAATACAACAAAATATTAATACCATTTTAAGAATTATTGTTATTATTATTATTTTAGTTTTCATTTGACACTATTTCCTGACCACTTTTATGACATGATTTTTCTGTTCAAGAGAGAAGATACCGAATTTTAAACTGAATGTTTTATTCTTGGAAAAAATATTTAGTGTCAGATCAGGGCTTAATTTCTAAACTAAAGTACCGGAGCCGTATGAAAGTCCGTCAGGAAAGAGCTAGAAAAATAAATAAATAAAATAATAAAGTAATGAATAGTTAAAATAATTAAAATAATTCAGTAAAATGTAAAGGGATTAATAAAGCATTTAATAAATTATTAAACTATTAATAAATAGTTAACCGATAAAATAAAATCCTAGCCCTCGTTTTATTTGGGGCTCGGGATGGAACTACAGTTTCATTTAAAAATTAAAAGAATAGCTCGGGCTGAATTTAAAATATGAATATACAATAAAATGCATTGCTTTAAAGTGGTGATAGAAACAAAGCCCATTCTTTTTCCCAGCATATAAATGAAAAGAGGCAAAACGATTAAAGAGTCACTTTTAACAGAGAATATGCAAGTATGAAAACAAACAGAGTAGATCCCAACACTTTCTGACCGCGATTCCCTGCAAATATGATTCTATAACGGCTGATCTGTGAACTTAGATCAAATGTAAGGTGATATTTTCATCTGTCCTGCTTGGTTGCATCGTGCCAAAATGTCTGCAAGGATATTTTTTCATGGTTAGTCACTACCACTGGATGTTAACGATTAGGGTGAGCACTTTTAGAACTTTCGGGAGCGAAAAACTAACCGCTGCCATAATTTCATTCCATTCCTGGATAATGAGACTTTAGCAGGTGGATAGGGTTGTATATTCGTCGAAGGGTTTGTTTTCCAGGAAAAGACAAGCATGCATTCAAAACATAATCAATTTTTAAGGTTTATTTATAATCAAAATAAAATTTTCGATATCAAAAGAATTTTCGAATGAAATTGTGATTCACTTACACACACACACACACAAAAAAAAAAAAAAAAAAAAAAAAAAAAAAAAAAGAGTATTGGAGCCCTCTTAATTAGGACTATGGTGGCTCCAGCTAAACTTATGATTTATCACAAAAATTAACCAGAGCTAGCCTCCGTTGTGCTCCGGCGTAATTTAAGTCAATATATACTTCAAAAAATGCCATATTTCATAATTTAAGTTTAATTTGTTAAAATTTTTTATATAATTTCCAGAAATTGAAAAACTTCCGACTACTTTTGTTAGCTTACTATATGTGAAAAATAGTAAGTAGATTTTATATAAGTTCGGAACAGTATTTTTTACAAAATTTCAGTGTACTACAAAAACACTTATCCGCATAAATAAACTGATTACATTCAGGTTAATAAATACTCAGTTTTTTTAAAGTTTAATTTATTTTTCATTTCATAGCCTTTAAATGCAAGCATTATTTGAATGATTTTATGTTAATGTTTTATAAAATGTTTTAATGTTTCATAAAATGCAATTTTTAATATACATTCTTTTTTTTGAACTTCTACCTAAGTAAGACATTATTAACACTTGTATTATCATCAACTGTAATCTAAATCTGTAAGAGCATTTAGATTATCATACAAAATCTGTTAAGAGTAAGAATTAAAGCGACACTAAAAAGTTTTACCATTCCTTCGGAGTTTAAATAAACGAAACACAGATGTTGCCAAATATAAGGCTAAGTCGCCAAAGTGGCTTTCTGACTCTACGATATCTTTTTGTTTTCGTCGCTGGGAGGAGAGGGTTACGTTTCTTCTTTTTCTTCTCTTTTTTTCTTTCCACCTCGCCGCTGGAGTTGATAAATAAATAAAAAAGAGACTGCACTGCAGAGAAATATTGGAGGAAAGAGGCAGTCCAAGATTTACAGAATAAACGCCTAAAGCTTGCGTTCTATTTTATTTTAACACGCAGTTGTAGGGGTTGCCACCGAAAATTCCCAGAGCGTCGCCAATATCGATCGGCGCTTCTGCAAACGTCAAAGCTGCCACTTAACAAACATCAGAACAATAAAAAAAAAACCGAAAGTGGAATAAAAAAATTAATTACGACGGAAAGTAATTTTTAATGCAAACTGCGCTCCAATTAAAAAGAAGCGTTTTTATTTTCTTTCTTTGTAGGGCCAATCGGAAGACGTGGGAGGGTTCATTAAAGAGTATCTCGCATCTAATTAAAGCTTATCTCTGAATCCTATTATTCAGAGAGATTTTTTTCTGCTTTTGTTAACGCCTGGAGGAAAGAAAAGAGGGGGAATGCTTGAAAACGCCGTGCGTTACATCTCTAACCGCATCACTGGACTTAAACAACAAACATAATTAATTTTCTTTGCTGGAAAACAAAAAGCTTTGTTGTCGCAATTGTGGAGAAGGCCATCATTCATTAGAACTTAATGCAGGAGAAAGTGTCGTTAATTTAATTGCAGTCTTTTCCACTAGTTAATGCATCACGTAAATTTATTTCCTCTAATTAAAAACAACTGTCAGACACAAATCATTATAAAGGTGCACTTTGAATGCCGAATGTATAACAAATACAAAAGCATTTTAAATGCTTTTATTTCGCTGTTTAATTTCGAATCTAGTCAGAAAATACTGTAATTAAATTATAAAAAGATAATCGGAGCTTTTTTGTTTAAAAAATAATGAAATTAATTTTATTAATTAACTGTTGCAAGAATATAGTCATTTTCACATTTTACATGAAACATAAAATTTTAAATTTGGGAATACAATAAGAATTGATTTAATTATTTAACTCTTATACATAATATTTATTCAATTTATATAAATATTTTTATAACATATTTTTCAAACGGAGGTAGGAAAAAAAATTAAATTGATCACATAGAAGAAATATAAATAACTTAAGTTTTACAACTGAATATAAAGCTACAAAAAGATATTGAATACGAAACTACAGATGCTAGTTTAATTTTAGTTCGTATAATATATTAAATTTGTATAATATTCTGCGTAAAAATATAAGCATTAAAAATTGTTTAACTAATTTTGAGTAAAATTAAGCAATATATATCATATGTATGAATGATGAAATCTCATAAATTTTTAATTCTGTATAAGAAGTGAAGCGTATGATTCTGTTGGTCACTAAACTGATAATGTACTACAGTTCATTCCTTCTCAGTAAACTGTCAGTAAATCGACAGTCTTTGGGTTCAGTTCCCGATTGAAGCACGAAATTTTTAAGAATTTTAAAGGGATGGTGTTGGTGTGGTGTATTTAATTATGGCAAAGCACACTAGGGCTATCTGCCTAAGGGTAGGGTTGCTTTTCGTGGAGGACTTTCTAAGGGAAACTGGCTCGTATACACGTTACACATGGGGAAAACCACGAAAACACCCATGCAGCCAGCCCGTTCGCGGGATTCGAACCTCGGACCGAACTACCAGTGTTCAGCGACTTTAAAGGGATGAGAATTATTCCATGACTAATTATTTCTTGGTTTTATCATGCATATTCTCTTGAATATTAGGACCTATAAAAATGCAGGTAAGCTTCTAATTAGAAAATATAGTTAAAAAGAAAAGATGCAGTTGATGGAAGTAAAATTTTGACGCAAGAATTTAAAATAAATTTTCCTAATTTTGGCAATACTGCTATAATTTTTGAAATATTTAATTATGCAAATAACTGCTGAAGAATTATCACATTTTGTAATGATGTTGAATTATTACCGAAATTAAAACAATTTTGCTAAGATTTCCAGCCGAACGTGCACATTTAATAAGACTGTTAAATTGTAAAAACATTACAATTTAATAACAATCGCAATCATTCAAAAGTGCTTAAAAGCGAAATAATTTTGGGAAAAAAAAAAAAAAAAAAAAACTGCAATAAAACTAATTTCTTATTCTTTTAATCATAGCAGTACTTTTTGCATTAATCCACAAGTTCCTGCAGTAATTAAAAATAACACATAATTAACATGTTCCTTTAGAAATTTTGCGTATTACTTTGCTTTTAAAAGCTTTCATCAAAATGAAAATCTCTTTAAGTCTCATCCACCTCATCAACGAAAATTGTTTTCCCTGCGCAATCATTTTCTCTCGAAAATTGCCAAACATTTAGCACAATGAGAAGACTAAACAAATATGACTCCATTACAGAGAGTGCTCTCGCCTTTCAAAAATAAAAGCTGACGCAGCCGCGATAAATTGAAGAGCGAAATTCTGCTAAAGATAGCTGCCTCTAATCAATAAATATTCTTCGAAAAAGGCAGAAGTTCATTTCCATAGATTCTTTCGAATGCAATTTGTTCGACGTATGACTTACCATCGAACAAAATTCTGCAAAACTATTCCAAAATTTTCCTTAGTTCCAACCGTAACCTCCGTTTTTTTGCGGGACCGAAAAAGAATCGTCTGCGTCTAATTACCGGAATGCTGCAGCTGGAAGAAGGTTCGCAAAAAAAGTGACGGGAGAAAGCGATAGAGGGCGCAGGTAGCGGTTGTTAAATGTGTTGTTGCTGTAGGATAGCAGCGAACATAGCAGAAGAAACATGGAGACGTAACATTTGTGCCGGATATTTCGTAAGCAGTTGGTTTTGTGAGGTGCGCTTTGATGGCTGATGTCGACAATTCTTCACAGAAAAGCAAGAGTTTTTCTCTCAAAAAACTGCTGAAGGTCCGACGAGTCACCAGTTTTTCGTAGAATACGATATTGCGTTAAACCAGGTAAGATATATGTTTTGAGCACGTGCAGACGATGCTTTTTTTTTTTTTTTTTTGTCAGTGGCGCTGTTGTAGTAATTTTTTTTTGTTTGCCTTTTTTTTGCCTCTTCAGTTCCCTTACCCCTATATTTGACGTTTCTGTCATTACGTCACATCACTGTCATATAAGATCAAAGATTGGATTTTTGATATTCAAGTAAACTGTTACCGAAAATTTTTATTTTCATCATATCGAAGTTTTTTTTTTTTTCTTGGCACCGCTAGCAGCTGGGTTTTGTTTTTATACTCCGTGATTGTTTGTTTACTTGTTGTACTTTATCAAAGAATATTGAACTGGCCTTTCTCAGCATAATTTTTCACTATTAAAAATTACTGATAAAAACAATACAATTTAAAAAAAGGATATATATTAGTGGGGGGGAAGCAGTTGTTCTTTTTTTTTTCTTTTTTCTTTTTTTTTTTTTTTTAGAGTAACTGTGAATATTATCCGATAAGTGAAATTTTAGTATTTTTTTTTAAATCAGTAACTTTTATATAAATAGTTCGTTATTTTTTCCTTTATATTTTATTCCAGTTGGATAGAATAATTTTGAGAAAGATAATTTTATAATAATGAATCGAATTAAATTTTTTCCCCAACTGATATTTTCGACTTGGGTTGTTTCCTTTAAAATTTTATTTGAAAGCACTAAAATTTATTTATGGCTTGCATCTGTTACTTTCATTTAAGGACAGAAAATTATTTTTTTAATATAGCTTTAAAAAACGTTTTTAAAATAAAACAAATGCGGAAAAGGGGGTAGGAGAAATTTAAGTGAAGTCATATCCTATCTCAATAATTGTAGTTTTATTTAACTTTCTGAACAGCCTAAAAATTTTATTCGTTTATTTTTCAAAAACTGCTTTAAGAATATTCTATATAATGGATTGAAAGCACTAAAATTTATTTATGGCTTGCATCTGTTACTTTCATTTAAGGACAGAAAATTATTTTTTTAATATAGCTTTAAAAAACGTTTTTAAAATAAAACAAATGCGGAAAAGGGGGTAGGAGAAATTTAAGTGAAGTCATATCCTATCTCAATAATTGTAGTTTTATTTAACTTTCTGAACAGCCTAAAAATTTTATTCGTTTATTTTTCAAAAACTGCTTTAAGAATATTCTATATAATGGGATATTAAAGCATAGTCCTAAAGATTTTAATTTGTTTAACATAATAAATAAAGGGCTAATAAATTCGATCTATTGCACCTATGAAAAAGTAGCAGGCAAATATTTTGTCCCAAATAATAAATAGAATAAAAATATTTCTAAACATTTATATCACATTTTATAATGTAGCAAATATTTTTTCTTTGCTTTTCTTAACTACGCTGAACATTATATACATTTTAGACACCGAGCTGCTACGAGAGAATAAAAACCTACAATCCAGTTTTGTTTTATTTTTCCGTAATTGAAATTATAGAAGCAGTTTGAAAATATTATAACAACATTTTTAGTTATGTATATAAAATTGAATGTGGTTTACAAAATCTCGTAAAGATAATGTAAAATTAATTCTAAAGTATGAAAACATAAATATAAACATAAACATAAAGTATGAAAACAAGAACTCAAAAAAGGAACATTGCATTTTGTGTAATCTATGTAGTTCAAATCTTACATTCTGTGTTTTTCGTCGATTAATGTGTTCGGATTGAAGAAAAACTTACTCTGAAGTGTAAAATTTCTCTGATGCTCTTTTAGGAGCACTTTTGAAACCACAAAGAAATGTTTAAAAATGTTAACTCTTTTTTTCACATGTGCTTTGACTATAATCAATAAAATTATTTGATTATTTAAGCCAAATTGCTGAAAAATTAACCTACTAGTTTATTTAGGAAAATCTTTCATTCAAGAAATGGGTTTTTATTGTCGTTTGCATTCTCTCTCTACAAATGCTCTTTTGCCTAAATTAGAAAAATACCATTTAATTACCATTTAGAACTCTGACAGTTCTGTTTATTTTGGTGTCCACTGTCAAATCTAATTTATTTCGAGAGTTTAAAGCTATATATATATATATCTGTATAGTATATTATAAAATGAAAATTAGTGTATAGTATAAAGTACTTCACTAAGATTGTAAGCTTAAGTAACATGATGGTATTCGGTGCAAAATTGTCAGACAGTCAGAATTCTATCATTTATACAAGTCAGGAAACTAAAACAAGAATTAGTATTTCAATTGCAGCAATTCTGCACTTTGTGTCTACTGTTATTAGCCGCAAAAGTTTAAACTGACTCCCTTAATGATAATTTATTTGTATGGGACAATAATTTCATCAGTTTCATCCCATTTTGTATATTATTATCAAGGCTTAGGTTTTAAAAATTGCTGTTTTTTGATTTAAAAATTTAGAATAATTCCGTGGTTTTGTGGTTAAATATTCTTTCATGAAATTTCTCTCCCATTTATGTCCCCTTTATAAACTTTATAGGAAATTGTAGGATAATACTTGTAACAAATTTATATGAAACTTAGAGTAATATTCCAATTTAATATATTTTTTTCATTTTTGATTTTGTGTTTCATTTTTAAAATTTACACTTGCATTTATATTTTTGTAAAAAAAAAAGTAGTTATACATTTCATGCTTCCTTTTTTTTTGGGGGGGGGGAGAGGGCTAGATTTTTTAATATCATCAAGTTTATATTTTCTGATGAAAATACAAAAGGTTTTAGGTTTTAAGGGAATGAGTTTTGTTTATGAATTAAATTCGTACAAAATTTGCGTCTTCTGATGATAGTACAAGATTTTTTTAGTTTAAGTTTTAGATACGAATTTAATAAGTGTTGTTTATGATTTGAATTCCTAGAAAATTTGCTTTTTCTAATAATAATTATAAAAAATGTTATGTTAATTATACATTTAGATATTAAATAAGTAAGTTTTGTTTATGAATTAAACTCGCTTGCTTTTGTAATAATAATGGCGAATGTTTAAATTCATTTCGGCTTTCATATTTTTTTTAACTTTGCTTTTAATCCATATGACTTTTTTTAACCCTTCAGTATTTTAATTTTTTTCCTATGCTCAGTAATTTAAGTAGTATAACTACGTGAATACTACATACCTATGTAGTAATTTAAGGAGTATAATTACGATTATTCTGTAATTATTGAAATGTTCTTAGTTGTCATACAAAAAATTATTTCTGCTGTTATTAGTTTTTTTACAATCTCATAAGCGCAGGAATTACGTGTTTGCATGGCCTTTATATTTATTTGTTTTACTTTTGATTTCTTCTTGGTTTTCTAATATTTGCATTACTTTTATTTTATTTATGAAAAGTTTTTTAAAAATATTGCAAAAACTACCGAAAAAGCTCAAATATATTTTTTGGGCTTCTTTAATAGCATAAGATCTGTGGTTTTTTTTTAAACCATATTACAAATATTAATTTTGTTTTTTTTTTTTTTTTTTTTTTTTTTTTTATGTTAAATTCGTTTTTCTATTTCTGCTATAGTTTGCTGTTTACCGTATGCTGTGTTACAGATTTCTGAAATACATTGTGACTATTTCGATTATTCAGTTCGTTAATTTATTACCTTAGATTAGTACTATAATTCTAAGGCAATTCATATTGTCTGTCTAGATAAATAGTTCTGATTATTCATCAGAATATTCAATATCTATAAAATCAGATGTACATAATTTTCAACTTTAATTTCTATATATCAGAAAATAAATCAGGAGGTATTGTGAAACAAATTGGAATACTTCCTAAAGTTGCAAGGAATTCTATAATTTTCAAAAATCCCATTGCCTTAATATCTTGCATTCATGTCTTACTTAATGTAAAATTTTCTATATGCTATAGGTTGTTATTTAGAGCAGAAAAGATAATATACGAAAGAGAAGCTGTGAATAATTTTATCCGTAAACAAATAATACATATTTATTTTGATAAAAAAAACAGTTATGATTTCCTTTTCCTTCTACTGACTATTTTATTTGATGCTTTGAATTTTATGTAAGATTCAATATTTTTTACTCTTCATATTTTTTTAATTTGACTTGAATTTGATCTCAATTTTATAAGGCATTATATTTTAGAAACTAACCTATGTTGCTGAAAGTATAAATTTTATTTATTATTTATGAAAAATATTTAAAATGTATGTTAAGGTTCATAGAATACATCTGAAATAATTTTTTCTATAATGATTAGAAATTTCTTTCTCATTATTTCATTTAAAACCAATTTAGTGTAGTTTCAATTTTCTAGTTAGCTTGTAACAAAATAACACATAAATTTCATCTCATAAATTTGAATTTGTCAGCAGTAATTCGTTGTTGAGTAATGTAACAACCACAAAAGCTTAAAAATAAACTAAGACAAATACTTATTGTAAACAAAATTTAAACATGTTTTTAATATGCTCTTTTGGAACTTATTAGTAGGAGGTAATTCGATGTTTAATAATATGGAGAACGAAAGTTATGTTTGATAAAAAAAAACATCCTCCCTGCATATTTCACAAATCTAGCCAATTTAGTTAATCTGTTTTGCGAAATCGTTCTGTCAGTTAGTTACCTAGAATTCTTCAGGTTATTACAGAACTTTAAAATAAATTCAAATTCGTGCATACCTAGTACTCAAGTTTTCTTCTACATCAAAAATTCCTTCTCTCGGCCGATGGATTAAAATATCCTGCTATCTTTTATAATGATGATGGCATTGTTGCGTTCAAATGATCTAACTTAACGTAACCTAACTTTATTACTCAAGAATGTACACACTAATTTATGATGACAAATTATATTTTTTTTTTTTTAGTACTGATAATTTATCGTAGCATAAGAGCATCTATTACTTAACAGTATAATAGATACTTAAATATTACTCATTTGCTAAATTAATTCTCATTTTGATTCCTTTCATTTTTGATTTAGTAATTTTGAGATTATAATGTAGTTTGAAAATTATGTACCAACTGCTGTTCTCTGGTGGCC